GAGCTAATCCCAAGTTCATATATATATATATATATATATAAATTAACTTTTGTAATTGTATTTTAATTTTATAATATACAAAATTGAAATTGATCCAGATCCAGATTCGGATCCGAATTCTATATAGTTTTGGATTCCGAATTCGAGATCCCGATCCAAATAATATGGATCCAGATCTGGATCCACTGTGTACTTTTTGGATGTTGATCCAGATTTAGATAGATCCAGACCTGATCCAAAAAATTCTAAGGCCTACCTCTCTCTTTTTTGAGCTTCCCCACACATCCATCCATCTTTCTTTCTCTGGCCAACGAGCCAAATACAAATATTTTAAACTTGAAGATCAACTAATAAATTATGTTAGTCTACCTTCAATACAAGTTTACAAAGGGACTTGTATTTCTTTCGAGACAAGAAAAGATATAAAGAAACATTAGGCGAGGGGGAATATTGAGCGAAAGAAAAGTCCAAGATGGGGAGCAATGACATGATGAAGACATCAACTCGGAAGTTACCAAGAAATATATGACCCAGTCCATCCTTTCCTCATTTACTTCTCCCAATTTAATTGATCTCCTTCCATTCATCGTTCACTTTGTTCTCTCTACTTAATAATTATCGCACGTAGTAGTTGAAACATTTGAATATTTTAGTATTCGTATCCAATCCACAATACAGAAATGACCTTATTTGAAAACTATTGCCCGGCCTGGATTGGATAAACATAAAAACATATTACACCTTGGAAACTTTCCAAATTATTTGTCTAATACTAAAAGAGAAAATATCATTAAAGGGAATGAAAGTCCTTAAAAAATCGTTGAAGGGATCCAATTATTCCTGTTAACATTTGAGGACATGCTTTTTTGTTTTTCATTTTGACTTAGACACCTTTTCATTTTTATCTAAAAAATATCCAAATTACCGTTATATTTGGAATTACAAATATAAGGGCATTTCAATAATTTGACCCCAAGAGATCTCACCAAGTTATGAAAATAACTCTAATTGTTTCGCATTATAAAAAAGGAGCACATTATTCATATTAGTAATATAGAGCAACTAATTTGTAATTTGATATATGCAAAGCATTTTAAGTGCAAATTAGTTGTTCTACATTATTAGTACTAAACAATAAGTTTTTTATTTGTAATGTAAAATTGAATGTTGGACTATGTGATCAAGCATGGTGCATATCAGTTAAAATTTTTATTATTCTTACACCGACAAGACCACTCACAATGTCCTCCACAAACAAATAACTCTTGAAACAAACAAATAAAATAAAATAAACACGGTTCTCACTCGCTACCACTATTGAATACAATTCCTTAAATCAAAACCTTAACTGATTATTTTATGGAAATAGAAGAACTCAACCTAAAGTAAAATTTAAAAAAGTAAATTACCAGAGATTTTCTCAACCGGGCTTAGTACACCCCATGCCGAGTCTCTTCCTTCCAATGGTGCTCGGGATCTATGATCGGTCTCTTGATTATCCTACTAACAAAACCATCTCAAAGGCATATGGATATCGATCTAGAACCAACTGCCTAAGGCCTCAATGCCTTAGTCTTACCCAAACCCCCTTAGATTGATCTTTAGAGAGATAGAAATCAAAAAGAGAGGGAGCGATCTACTAGCAAGGCGATGCTTCCTTTTGCTACCCACAAATCAAGAACCAATTCCAAGTTAGGTTGTGCCCCTTAGAATCCATAAGAGAGATGAGATTGCTTGGGCGTGCCATCTTTGGAACTCAAAGAGAGAGATAAGATACCTAGGTTGGGGCGTGACTCTCTTGAAGACTTGGGAGAGAGAGTAAACCCTAGGTTGGGGCATGCCCCTCTTGAGAGATCTTGGAGAGGGATAATTCTTAGAGATAATAGAAAAGGGGTGTAGAGATTTTTTAATAAGGAAGAAGTCTTTTTTTATAGATTTTTTATGCTTTAAGGTTTGCCATAATTCGTAGAATCAATTTTAACCATCGATCTAACGAGACTTGTGGGGTGAGAGATGTGAATCATCTATTCCTTTGATCCACCATCAAGATTAAAAAAGAATGTGCTAGACCATTATCATCCACTTCCTAAACCTATTCCTTTCAAATACTCTAATAAGAAAAATATTTCTCTTTTAGGATATTTATTCTTTATCCACATAATCTTTGAATAATCAAAATTCCGTAAACCACAAAACATTCCATTCTTGTTTCAATCAAAATCTCAACAAAACACTTTCCATAAAATTTCAACTTAATTGATGGCATTGATTCACAAGGTTTTAGAAAATAAGATAGTAGCCCCATTATGTGGGGGTGCCACCTATGGGCCCCTATGTGAGCCCCACATACATCACTATAGTGGACTTGGTGGGCTCCCATTGGCCCTTTCAAATATTTATAAATTAAAATAATTTTTAGAATTTAAATTTTTTAGTTTATTTAAAATATTGAAAAATAATTTTGTTTTAATTTATAAATCCAAATGAAAAAATTAAAATGTCAAAAGTTTCACAAAAATTCAAATAAATATTTTAAAAATCATATAATACAAAATTAATTAAAATTAATTAATTTTGATGGGAATCAGATCCATAAAGGTCTAGGAATCATCATTATTAATATACTGGAGTACTCCACCTTCAACTGTGGACCACGATTCACACTAGCTTTCACAAACTGGCCCAGTGATTCTCATGATCCACAGTCCATTGCAGGAGCTCATGATTGGACCACCAAAGTCAGCCAATAGGCTAAGGAATGTAGACTCAATCTATGGATTTCAGTTTCTCCCCTAGAGACAAAACCATAGTCCCTAGACCATGATGCAACCACGACTTTGTAGTGCATAGGGTAATCTCTCGTACATGAATACACTTCATCCTTAATGGTGTAACACTATCTCAATACGACTATCTCTCTTGCCTGTATCGACAAATCGCATTTACCTAGTATGGTCGACGCGAAGACCACACTCCCACTGATTTTATGTTTCACTATAAAATACTCATACAAACTCTGATAATACCTTTAAAAGCTACATAAACCCAACAAAAATACCTAAAGGTATTTTTATTATTTAGTTGAGGTATCTTAGATGTCAAATTGCAAAAATGGCCATGATTGTTATGCATTCCAAATACCAAACAAGGGTAATTTAACTATTTTTATTTGTGAGGATGTTTCTAATTAAAACGAAAAATAAAATAAAATGCTCTCATATGTTAATAAACACAATATGACCCGTTGAATGATCTTATGAGGAGTTTCATTCCCTTTAATGATATTTTCCCACATATTCAACAAATGTCTCGGGCTTTGGTGTGGCACTAACACACGCCCAACTTGTACTATACAAGGTGTGGTTCAAGGGCCCAAAAAATTAGGGCCCCTGCCTCAAAATGTGGCGTGACGGCCAGGCAAAGACTAGATCCCTACAGGCCAAGAACTGGATTGGCTGGGCTAAGGCTGGACCACCACGGCTTGGGACCGGGTTGAGCTGAGCTGCGCCACGACAATGTCAGTTCGTCCCGGCATGAGTCAGGGATCTATCTAGGCTAGGGCGTCTTTGGCATGGTTTGGTTTGGCCAGGATCCAGCTGGCCCTCAAGGGACTAGAGTTCGGGTTAATTGACCCAGACCCAACCCATTGTCATACCAATGCAGCATATCTTTTTTTTTTAATTTTTTTTAATTGTGGGTTTGTAATTTGTAAATGTCGGTTCTAAGTTTTTTAAAAGATGGGTTGTAGGCCCAACGTATGTTGCATTAGTATTTCAAAACCTGATCAGACCAATTCTCTATTTTGGAATTGGGCCCAAAAGAATTTACTATTAATTTAAATTTGAAAAATAAAAAACTTAACGTAATAGAAAAGGCGCTTCATCCAATCCAGTCGTCCAATTTCCTGACATACACGTCAAATTCTATGACAGAATCGGACAAATCTGCCAAAATGGGAATCGTTCTAGGTCAAGCTATGAACCAGATTGGTCTCGACCGAATCCCGATGTGGATCTCTTAATTTTTAAAATACTATATATGGGGAAATCTGATTTTTAAAATACTAGGTTGCACCGAAGTCCAATAGGTGCCGGATTGTAATTTTCTGAAAATGATGGTTTAGTTAACAGTAGTTCACACGGCCAATACCAAGCCCTCACGTGACCCACAAAACAATTGTCAATAACTATTAATAAATATTCTCATTCATATGATTTTCCTTTTGACAAAAATTTTATGCTCCCACTTGTGCATCCTCTTAGGTAAAAATCCTACCTAAGATATTTTGGGACAACAAATTCAGATATATAATTTTTTTGGCCGAGTGATCAACCTCAAAATAAATAAAAGAGAAAAAATTATAAGCATTTTGTATGTTACATGAAAAATCAATTTCTTGTGATTGAAGGGAGATCATCTAATTTTTGAATGCTTAGATCTAATTGTTTTAAAGCTCAATTTTTTTTTTTTTTTTTTGGAAAATACAATATCTGTAGGACAAAACCTAAAAAATTTTATTGTACTCATGTGCATATCTTTTCCTTGAGGAAGCACGAGGATATATCGATTTTTTTTTTTGAAAATGGTTTGATAGGGCTGTAGCCCTATCAAAATAAGTAAATTGTCACCTCATAACTCTTTGAAATTGCAAGTCAAGCGTTGGAAAATCTTAACATCGATCATCTCAACTTGCACATTATGGTTGTGGAAAAAATTAAAATTTTAAGCTCTAAAGTTAGTGTATATTATAACAAATTATCTAGACTGTCCATTTTGCCTTGAAAATAAGTGTTTTCAGATCCTTTTTTTAGTTTTAAAATTTGTTTTCAATGTTGGAAAATGATTTTAGAGCATCATAGAGATTTTCATTACTGAAAATAATATTTTACTTTCTGGATGAGGATTTAATCTAAGGCTTTATTTTGTTTTCATGAATCCTTCTTATATAAACCCATCCTTTATTTTTTTTCCCTGATCGGTGACTGAGATTGAGATTGCAACCCACTCAGTAGGTTTAATAAACCCCTCAAGTGGATTCGGACCCAGTTGACCAACCCAATGAGAAAGCAAAAAGAAAATGAAAGAGTAAAGTTCAGTTGAAGAGCTTGGACGGAGAAAAAAGACAAATTTCCGCATCTTCGTCTTCTTTACATAAATAGGAAGAGAGTGAGGTTATTACTATGCTCATCAATTGCCTCAGGTTCATTCAGGTGTTAAACACTTGTAGCTATAGCCATGAGCACTCCGGCCCCCTCTGTGCCCAATGCCAAGAGGTACACCTCTCTCTCTCTCAAAATTTTTAACTTTTAGGGCTCGCAATGGCTGGTCCGAGCACAGTTGGCCCGGCTTTAAAGAAGTAGGGCCCTTGGGCTACAAACTATGGCCCAAAGGCAGGGCTAGGGCCAGTGCTGGCTGGGTTCAGCCTGACCGGCCTTTTTTCTTTTTTTTTTTTATTTGCGGGGCTAATCCTGAGCGGGCTCTACGGGAACAAAAGCGTGGCGAGGGCCGGGGTTGGCCTAGGCCGAGAGCCGGGCCCGGCCTGTTGCTGCCCTTGGAATACTTGCCTTAGCTTCAAGTCATTTTTTTTACAAATTTTGGTAGTTTTTAAAATTGGCCTCCTCCATTCAGGGCCTATCAATGACTCTTTAAAATAGTGCCAATACTTTGATTCTTTCTTAATTTTCATGTTTCAATTTTTTTTTCCCCAAAAAATTGAGTGTCGCCATACAGGGCCCCGCACTGGCTTGTTAACGACAGGAATTTTGTGGATGTTTTAATTTTCATGCCTAAAATTTCTTCTCCAAAAAAAAAAAAAGAAAAAAAGAGTAAAGATTGCCTTTTCTGGTGAATTTTTGAGGTGCGCCTTAAATTGATTGTTTAGGGTCTCACTCTTATATAAACTTTTTTGATACATATAAGGTGGATTTTAAAAAATCCAGCCAACTAATGGGCTAACTCACCTGAGCTCGTTATGCACCAAGTAGTAGCATTGTCTTTCAGCCCAAGTTGCAGAGCTCCTTACCTTATTTATAATTTATCAAAAAAGTCAAACTCACCCTAAGACAAGCTCTCCTTGATCTTTTCTAATAATGACAATATGTACGTCTTATGGGGTTTGTGTACCATGAGACCAATTATTTTTGTAACAATAATTTCCTCACAATAGTTACTCCCATTAGATCTCAAATTGGATGGTTTGGAGTGACTCATAAAGTATATCATCATATTTGCAAAAATTTAAAACAGGGTATTTTCTTTATAGATCATCATATTTGCATTTTTTGAGCTGCAAAAATCATGCATGTAGACCTTAAATGCATCTAAACTGACTTGGTATATCTTTCAAATCTTAAATCTCTCTTTCACATGCATTTTTTTTTTTTTTTGAAAAAAAAATAGATCACATTTGAATAGAACATCATTCCTACGTGTTGAGTCTGCCTATGGATAATATTGTGTGTGTGTCCCCTATGGATAATGCCTAAGAAATATTATTATTGCCCCTTGATTTTGAACAAAGGGGCTCTAGCTTCAAACCAAGCAGTCTTTTGCAAGGAACATATAAGATCCAAATAGTCATAATAACAACAATGATCATTTGGTTTCTCAAACCTACTCAATACAATTCAGTCAATGAGAATTTTGGTTGATATACCCTTTCATCACCATCAAACAAATTGATGGGAAGGTGATAAAAGTTATTGTGATGCTTAACACTTACTGCTTGCAAGGGCCACTCATAAATGCCCATTGGAATGGGGTATGCCGTGCTCCACTAGGCTGCATTATACTATTTATAATCAAGCTTTAGTTGAGGAACTAACATGATGGGATGAAACAGGCTCGAAGGAAAGGTGGGGATCATCACAGGAGGGGCGCGAGGGATCGGAGAGGCTGCAGTGCGACTCTTCTTGTCCCACGGTGCAAAGGTTGTGATTGCTGACATCCTTGATAACCTCGGGGAGGCCCTATGCCACGAGTTGGGGGAGGACGTATCTTACATCCACTGCGATGTAACAAATGAAGATGATGTCTGCAAAACTGTCGACTTTACAGTCGAAAAGTATGGTAAGCTCGACATCATGTACAACAATGCCGGTATAGTGGACTCCTTAATGCCCGAAATCCTAAACACTGAGAAGGCCAAATTTGAACGAGTGTTGGGTGTGAACTTAGTAGGGGCACTTTTGGGGGCCAAACATGCGGCCCGAGTCATGATCCCTGCAGGCAAGGGCTGCATCTTGTTTACTGCAAGTGTGGCTTCTGAAATTGGGGGTTTCTCTTCATATGCATATTCTTGCTCAAAGACCGCGATTGTCGGGCTGATGAAGAGTGCAACGGCAGAGTTAGGGAGATTTGGAATTCGGGTGAATTGCGTGTCGCCATACGGGGTGGCCACGCACATAGCCGATGGGCTACTGCCAGTAGAGGCTGTGCACTTTGAGGGTTTGTTGAGCAAGGTGGGGAACCTGCAAGGGGTGGTTCTAAAGGCTGAGGACATAGCCCAGGCTGCAGTGTATTTGGCTAGTGATGATGCCAAGTATGTGAGTGGGCAAAACCTCCTTGTGGATGGTGGCTACACCATTGTAAACCCATCTCTAGCCATGGGCTTCTCTAGCTTTTTAGGCCAAGCATGAAGAAGATTTTTGTTTGTTAAATGGAACTCCCGGAAATAAGCATAGAAGTGGGGTTTGTTGTTTGGAGAGTGAAGGAACCTCTTTTGATTTTCATGTTCTTGTGTTTCAGTGCATGCTTTGCCATTTTAACAAAAAGAAAAAAACACATTTTCTTAGAGTCCAATGTCGAATGGTCAAGATATCACATCGTACCCAAGGAAAGAGAGTGAACGGGAGAACGATTAAATATTCAATGTAGTTTTATATTTTGACATATATCTTTAGAAAAGTAGGTCTTTAAAGAATTACCATTGAATTTTGATATAAATCTTTGGAAACGTTATCAATGAACCTATGCACCTAAGTCTCACATCCATGTGATAACGTTTTTAGATATCTGTGTCAAAATTTAATGGTGATATTTTGAGGTCCTACTCACATGGGTGTGAGAGAGTCTCATAATAGTCGTGGGAGGCAAGGCACACAGGGGGATAGG